GCCACGGTGGGAAACGAACCCACGACCTTTGGAATACTAGCCCAATGCTCTTCCAACTGAGCTACGCGGTCAGGTCGGTTCGAGTATGCGATATTTCGGAACTGAGTCTAGTTCCTTCGATATCAGTGTAATCTAATAATCATGAAATCTGCTGTGGGCTAGTATTCCAAAGGCCGTAGGTTCGAATCCCGCCGTGGCCAGGCATATTTTTCAAGCCTGTCCGGTGTGGATATACACTCGGAGTAACATCACACAACATCTTATTCACCTGAGTACATTACACCAACACAGCAGATTTCATGATTATTAGATTACACTGAAATCGAAGGAACTAGACTCAGTTCCGAAATATCGCATACTCGAACCGACCTGACCGCTTAGGTCAGTTGAAAGAGCATTGGGCTAGTATTCCAAAGGTCGTAGGTTCGAATCCTGGCGTGGCCAGGCATATTTTTCAAGCCTGTCTGGTGTGGATATACACTCAGAGTAACATCACACAAACAAAGTATGGAATAAGGTAAAAATTTAAAGTACTGTCAATATCTGCTTTTGACAGACAAAGACAGATAGAGGTAAACATAGCAAAAATGTTCATTAACCCTTAAGTGGCAATGCACCTATGTAGATGCACCCTACTTTTATTATTTTACTCTGTCTAATGCTGCCACTCAATGGGGGAGAGTGCTGCCACTCACTCGCTCTTAACCCTTTAAGTGGCAATGCGCCCAGATGCGTGCTACTTTATTATTTTACTCTCTCTCATGCCAGATTATTTTACTCTGTCTAACTCCAGACAATTTTACTTGTCAGGGGGAGAGTGCTGCCAATCACCGGGTAGACAGTGCCAAGTGTGGACATGAGGTGCATTTCATGCTTTTTGCAGCTGTATCATTACTTCCAGAAATGGGACTGAGGGCTCAAATTGTATCAATCAATGGCAATAGCGTAGTGACTCCCACAGCTACAGTGTATCTTCTATTTTTCTCTTCCCACCCCTTCTCTCAGTTCATTCGCTTCATTTGCAGTGAAGATGACGACTTCTAAGCCGAAAGTCAGGAAATGAGACATTTTTGTCCATCTTTACTATCCCACTTTTTTCTTAGCCACGACCGGCTACGTACATAACTAAACAAAATGGCGGCACAGCTAGCATAATTAGAAACTATGATTTTCCAAGTTTGTGTTCAAATAAATAATTTAAAAGAGAAGAAAAATACACAACAGACAACAGGATATGCTGTTGAAACCGTTTATAATAAGTAGATTCTTTTAATTTTAAACTCGTTTACACTATAGAGTTTTTGTAACGAAATACAATTGTTGTATGAATGTTGAATGTTGATTTTTGTTAATCTTCGCTATACAACAAAACGCTTAATGTATGTTCCCTCGGGTTAGTTTTATTTTCCCTCGAATATCAATGTTTCCCTCGACTTCGTCTTGGGAAACATTGAGACTCCCGGGAAAACAAAACAAACTATTTCCCTCATTTAATTATCTAAATGAAATAGGGCCACTGCCCAGGAATCTGAACTGAATCACATCTTTATAAAGTTTAACAGTGAATTCATTATGGGTACACTGGGCCTTGGTTCCCTTCTTTTTCAGGATTCCAGCCACAACTGATGAACAAAGCATGGCTAGGACCAAAACTCTCACTCTTCATTAGGATAAAGATTGTAAAGTTTATTCACTGATGAACATCAGCCAAATATTTGGACATGGATTACTGACAGCATTTTAATTACATCTTAGTCATGATACAGTAGCATACTAGACATATATTCTATTTTTTAAGGTTGATAGTGGACAAAATAACCATTTCCAGTCCAGTTTTTTAGATCTGCATGATTTCGACTGGAACTTAAAGCAATTTAAAATGACCAAAAATTATGTGCAATATATAATGTCAGAGATTGGGTATTCAATTTTAACCTTGTTTCCGATCACAAAGACTGCTGATTACTATGGCAGCCAGGCAGACAAATACAGATGCTGTAATCAGCTGAAAGTGTAATTTATTATTATTAGAGCACCAACAATTTTTAATTTTTAGGGTGAAGATGAGATGACCCCAGGAGTGCTGTATGTTGGCCATATTCCACATGGCTTCTATGAACATGAAATGAGAGGTTTCTTTTCACAGTTTGGTACCGTTAACAGACTTCGGTTGTCCAGAAGTAAAAAGGTATTGTTATCCAAATCAATCCAAATCCAAATCAATCTCTGTACTGTACTGTACTGTACTGTACTGTACTGTACTGTACTGTACTGTACTGTACTGTACCGTACCGTAGGCTTGTCCATTTATGGAAGCCACCCATTTGACCCATTAAGTTAAAATTCCACGAAATGGTCAGAGTACAATCAGACATAAACATCATGGATTCTTTTAGATGTGCATTTAAGTTCTGGAATTTTACTATATTTTAGACTGGAGGTTCCAAAGGTTATGCATTTGTCGAATTTGCATGTGATGATGTGGCAAAAATTGTTGCAGAAACCATGAACAATTACATGATGTTCGGAAGACTGTTGAAGTGTATGTGACATGTTTGAATTTTTTCTACCCTACACAATCACTGTATATTATAGTATAACTGTATATTATAGTATAAGTGTCCTGAAACTGACCATTTGGACTTGATCCTCTGTTCACCAGGGGTATTTTCCTCGAAGTACACCTGAATGGAATATCATTGTATATTCTGTTCTCGATGGCTAAGATTTAAATATCGCCCAAACCTTGTTGCCTATTTTCCTCGAAATACACCTGAATGGAATATCAATGTATATTCCGTTCTCTAAGCCCGTTGTCAAAGCCCGTTTACAATTTTGCTGTGATTTCTAGTGCGATTTTCTCCTTCTGATGCATGTGAACGAGTAGATGAGTTACGAATGTTCGGAGTACTTGTTATCATGTACCCGTAACTTATCCACTCGTTAATATCCATCAGAAGAAGAAAATCGCAGCAAAAATTGCAAGTGTAAACGAGGTTTAAGATATGTATAGAGAATAATACATGGGTGCGCGGAAATACCAGATTTATTTCGAGTGTTGAACATGATATCTCACGAGTGAACGCAGCGAACGAGTGAGATATCATGTTCAACACGAGAAATAAATCTGGTATTTCCAAGCACCCATGTATTTTTCTGTTTATTATATAAAGGACAGTCTTTGAAAAGCGATAATTTTTACAGAAGAGCGATAATTGAAAAGCGATAATTTTCACATGTGAATGAATAATCTCACATGTGAGATTATCACTTTTATCAGTGCTCGAAATCTCTATAAAGCACTATACTTTATATAATAAATATAATTAATATATATGTAGCGGCCATGTGGAATGAAATATCTATCATTCTATTGTTACTAACGTTCTCTTATATGTATATATATAGGTAATGTTGTTTCCCCAGAAAAAATACATCCACGTCTATGGGTTGGATCTAACAGAAGATTTCGAGCAAAACCATATGGTACAACCAACACAGACAAACATAATAAGGTAAAAATAACCGAGAAACTCCAGATAAATTATAAATGTGTATGGAATAGGAATTACAAAAATTCATGGTATGAAGACCAAAAATCCCTGAATACTAAGTTATACAGTATAAAGTTGCAAATAACATACGAGGTTTAATCGATGGTCAAAAGAATTAAACTTTAGTTCCGTCTGTACGAACATTTGGATGTTACATTTCCTTAGATAGTACACAGTATGTACATGTATCTTACTATCTTGTATATGAGACAGATTTCAAATTCACATGCCATTTTTAGTCCTTTTGTGCATTGTAAAATTAATGTATTCAATTTTAGTGTAAGTTAATGTTGTAATCTTCAATCTACTATATTTTAGATAGAATTTAAGCTCCATTTATTATTTTGTAGCCTCGCAATATAAAACAGCATACAAAGCAAGTCAGTAAACTAGTGGCAAAAGAAGAAAAGAAGAGAGCCAAGTTAAAAGAACTTGGAGTCGACTATGATTTCCCCGGTTACGTATGTACAATAATTCTGTATTCTTTTTCTCATTCATAAAACTGGCTCCACAAAGTGGTAATATAAGGTAGTATGGTGAACAATAATACACCCTTTCGATAATTACATCACACATACTTTTTGGTCTTGGAGCCTCGCTCTCAATAGTAAATTACGCAAGGTGATTGGCTTACGATTCACGAGAGTGAGACTCCCAGGCAAAATGACGTAATTATCGTGGATTCGTTTCTTTCGTTAGAACCATCTCCTTAGTACTTGTAGCACATTTTACCATAAAGTATATAAACATTGGACAGATTTAGAAAAGACGACGAGGCAAACACGGCGACGCGTTCTCGATTTCAGCTCCTACAAGATTGAGAGCTAAGGAACTTGATTACTGTAATAAATTGAAGCTTTTTAAAATAACCTTACAAACCACTAAGTTTTGAAAAACGATCCGGTGTCTGCTATATACGACAGATTTTATGCAATTCCTCCAACGTCGCAACAAGTATGCACGTTTCTCCAATTAGTTTAACGTTGTATTCAGAATGATGACGTTATTGAGGATACCCCGGGACCACAAATTATTCAAACCTTTTGTTTTGCATGAAGAATTTCTCTGTTTCGAAGTCGTTCAGTTCGCGTCGAGTTTTCTGAATCAGTCTTTCTTCACTTATCAGTATACGTGTAAAAACTCTATGTTCGTAGGGTTCTTAGTCACTTAAATCAGAGTAATAAATCAGAAATTGTATATCTTCATTTTAGACGGCCGAGGCTGGTAAACATAAACATAATCCTAAGCATACAAAGTTTGAAGAAACCTGAGATGGTATGAGAATATATTATAATGATTGACGAAGACAATTCAACAAGATAGGAAGTACTACAGCTGTTGCCTGTATTATAGAGGAACAAGCCATGTTAACTTTGGTAGAAGATACATATACTGTACAATCTATAAATGTACTGTATAGGTACATCATTACAAATGGAACGTGTTTTTATAGTACAGACAGAGCTTAGTAGTATGCAACATGATAAAAATACCATTACATTCATACGAATATTAGTGAAGTAGTATAACATAATGTTGAGCAGCAACAAATATAACTATTAATATTACATGTGACTGCGATAACCGCTTTAGTGAGCACATGACTTTAACTTAACGTTCTATTTTTTCTACGTCCTGGCTAATGCTTTTTTATTAATTAATGTCTGAATACGCATAGTTTTGTCCCATATACACGCTTCAAGTTTGTCGGCAATTAATGCAAGAAGTACCGCGAGAACTAAATAATAATGCATAGATTGACAACCACCTGCATGTACCTGGGGGCAGTTGTATATACGTAATGTACGAAAGCCGGATACCGCCTTGCATCTTTTTCATTCAATGCCTAAATCACAGGAAATGACATTTCCGGGTTCTAATTTTCAAAATTTTCCCGGGGGACATGAACCCGAACTCCCCCCCCCGTTCCTATAGGTGGCTCGCGCCTTCGGCGATCTAGATTTTTCGTGCATGGATGGATCATTACAGGGTTTATATCCTGCAGCAACAAATCGAACCTGCTGCCCTGCGATTCTCGCTCTAACCAACACGTCAAAACTATAGAATAAGTAAATATTAAATACTGTAGAGTAATATAAGGTTAGGATTGGCAGGAATTAGGATTGACGCAATAGACGCTTTTTGAGTCAATTTAAAATGTGATGTTAGCACTCCATCTGACCAGGAATGAAAAGACCAAGTCAAAATTATAGTAACTACGCAATATTTGGAGACTTATTTTTAAGAAACTGTGGCACTAGCGTCGTTTCCAAAAACAGACACTTTAATAGAGAATATTATATGGGAATTTTGCATTGAAGCCTTGCTCCCATACAAATATCCACATATATTTTCAAATAAAATTTCGAAGTTCATATGGTGTTTTTCAAAATTTCGATATAAAGCCTCCAGATTTTTTTATTACTGACTTTGATCTGCTCTTTTCATCTGGCACTTACATGCAGAGTGATAACAATAAATTTTAAATTGACTCAAAAAGCATGTTAAAGGTCTATAATTTAGACAGTGTTTAAATTTAATTTAATGTTAATGCCATTATACATTAATGCACTTTTGTTTTGGTTTTGCGGCGTATGTGGGTTATAATAGCATTGATATGTTAATAGTAATCATATGTGCACCTGGATACTGCACCTGACGTAGTACAATAAACACAAATAATTCGCATTTGAAGACTTATTATGACTGTTCGCACACTATCATTGTCAAGCCATCATGCATGTAATTGCATGGAGACTGTATAATTGAAGGATTCGTATATATTTACATTCTTGTCCAAGAAAACCTATATACAGTGTGTATAAAAAAAACTGAACCCTTTCAAATTCAAATTCGCTATAACGTATTGTAGCATTTGACAGCTCTAATTGCTTTGAATCTTGTACTCATGGGACAAAACTCAACGAAATAAAAATGAGAAAATTTAAAAGAAATACTTTTCTAATTTTTATTTCTTTGAGTTTTGTCCCGTGAGTACAAGACCTTGTGTTCTTACCCAACCATTAATTCAAAGTGCCAATAACAAGAAAGCTTCGGATTGATAGGGATACAACTACCTGAACGATCAAGGAGAACTAAACTGCCCGACGAAGCCGAAGGGGGCTCGAAACGTCGAAGACGACGTTCTTGTATTTTGCAGGTATATATAGTTGTATCCCTAGCAATCCGAAGCTTGTATATCTTAATTATGACTTATCCAGTTCGGTGGCGCTATTCATAATTAATACATTCTTCCCATACAAGGTATTCCGAAAGGAAAACCGGACTACATGTGGTTTAAATGGATACACTGATTCATCTGGGTATCGGTTAGAAAAGCTCAAAAGATTTTTTCTAAGTATAAATCATCAAAAGACTATTTTAAAGTCGGGAGGTGACGATGATCTGAAAAAGGCATAAAATATGGGAATTTATATTACTGCAACGATTGAAGTGATTGTTTACCGAAACTGAGATCTTCAAATACCGTGAGGATATGAATATTAATTTTAAACTTAATTGACGTTGGAAATATTTTTCCAGTGTTAGTATTTCTGTACTATGTAAAGTTTTCAGCATGCTCCGCCATTCTCCAGAACGACACGTCAAGGAATTTAACTGAAGAAAGTCGAGCACAGAGGTATGTGGATGAATAAGAATCTTTAAACTTGGGAACCCAGCGCATCGGTCACGGTGAAGATAGAAGAAACCGCCGTTCATGCATACATGATTATTCTACAATTTGCCGTTTACTTGTTATCCTTTATACTGCAATCGCCCTCTAAAGTTAAGTCTGGCGTAAATATATGTTTTTGGCCGTCTGAGTCAGGCCAAAACATATTTATACCCGCGAACATCGGCTCTATATTGTTATTTTAATACAAGATACTTGATCGATTTTTGGAAAAGAAATACCTATAGCTGGTGTTACACTGTTATGTAAACTAAACTTAAAACTAAAGTAACTTTATTACGTAATAGCAGTAGTCTAATTCTCTTCACGGGTCCAGTTAGGGGATTACTTACTGTGTATAGTGTTGTTTCAGAAGGAAACACCTGAACACGCGGGGAAAGTGGCTTAATTGTTTCGTAGAATCTAATTGAAAGCACTTAATTTTCATTGTAATCAGAGGCAAATAACTCGTGCTAGGAAAATAACTCAGTCCATCTCACATATATAGACTCGTGCCAATTTGATTGGAAATCATGTTTATAAATACAGTGTATGCAGTAGGCAATTTCCAAAATATACGCTTCGAGTTTAATTAAGAACAATATCACGTGGACGGAGACAATTCGTTTGAAGCTTGTTATCACACTCCAATTTTCTTCACAAGTTTAATTTGCTCCATGAAAAAGAAAAATTTCATGACAAGCTTCCTCAGTTTAGTGAAAAGAAAAATCGTGTCATCTGTACTGGGCTTTTATGTTCTATCTGAGAGACTCGTTGATGAAGAAAATATGACATTAATGAAATGACCATAGATATCTCATATGGAAATGACATTTGCATGGTTATCTGCCTGCCTCTACTGTATAGATAGGGTGTTCACGGGCCTTGAGAATCTTGGAAAGTCCTTGAATTTTAAAAAAGCAAATCCAGACCTGCAAAGTCCTTGAAAGTTAGTGCAGGTCCTTGAAGTTTTGGAATTTTTTTCATCTGTGCGTATATACATGAACATTATGTAAGCTATTGATTTTGATTAAAAAGTGGTGTTTTAACAGGCAGAATCCATACCATTTTGAAACATTTTTGCAGTTTTAGGTCATCCTTAGCCTGCGCGGCGTGCGCGCAGACTATATAATGACATATATAGTCTGCGAATCCGTGGCATGAATCTTGTATGGTCACGTGAATTTCCCAAGAAAAGTTGGGACGAATTGTGATCACTGATATACACTAAGATTGTGATTGGTTGAACTATAATTATGCAGAATTAATGTTAATTCATCGGACATTAAGCCCGCCGCACACGAGAGCAACTTGCTGAGCTAACCGCCTCGCGAGGCCGTTAGCTCAGCTATGTATTTTCACCGCACACGTTGGGAAAACTACTCAACAATAACATAATTAACAAAATTATTTGCATTTTCCTCCATTTTGTTCCATGTCACATGAAGAAACCATGGTTTGTCATTGGCTAATTGATTGAAACAGACTCATAAACTCATAAACTTTATTACATATCCCTCCCTCGAAAGGGTTTTTCAGTGATACAATACAATACAATAAATTATTTAAATATAGTACAGATATTCTAAAAATATATTTACAATCAATTAAAAACTAGTTATATAAATGTAATTTAAGAAGTCAGAAAGTGTTTGTGAAGTTTATGTTTACCTTTAACAGCTCAGCACTTAGCTCACAACATCCGCAGACGCTGAGATTTTTTCCTTCCGAGGCGAAAAATATCAAACACGATAGATATTTTCCTCAAGGCCTCGAGAGGTCAAATCCTCACGAAAACTATCCGCACACGAGAGCTACTTGCTGAGCTAACCGCCTACTTGCTGAGCTAACCGCCTCGCGAGGCGGTTAGCTCAGCAAGTTGCTCTCGTGTGCGGCGGGCTTTACGTTCGCAACGTACGCGCGTTGGGCTGTTCAAAATTGACCATTTCCAGGGTCAAATGACAATGTTTATATTACAGTTGTATTTATAGAAGTGTGGCGGATAAACAAGAAAGGCCGTTGTAGAAGAAATCTATAATATTACATCTTCTGTTTGGCGAAATGGGCTTTCCGTTTTGAAAACAACGGCCTTTTTTGTTTATCCGCCACACTTCTATAAATACAACTGTAATAAACATTGTCATTTGAGTCATTTGACCTTGGAAACCGTCAATTTTGAACAGCCAACGCGCGTTGCGAAAGCAATGAATTAACACTAATTCTGCATAATTATAGTTCAACCAATCATAATTCGTCCCAACTTTTCTTGGGAAATTAACGTGACCATACAAGCTTCATGCCACGGATTCGCAGACTATATATGTCATTATACAGTATAGTCCGCGCGCAGGCTAGTCGATCCTCGGATTTACTGAAAAACGTCCTTGAAAGTTCTGGGAAGTCATTGAGTACTTAGATTATTTGGTTAAATTTACTGATGAAAAAACTACATTGTATGTTTCATGTGTATCACAACCTTCATCTATTTTCTTTTATCATACAGCTGTTCTACAGAAGTAGCTGGTGCTGTGCTTCTTAATTTGACTTCGAATGGATATGATTACAGAATACGGCCACACTACGGTGGTAAGTAACATGAGTAAAATGCATCGTCCATCACACCTGGTCAACACATTTGAAGTATCTAGGTTTGCATGGATATCTATTATTATTATATACACAAGGTCTGGATATGAGGTATTCTCCAATCTGATTGGTTCTCTACTAGCAGGATATTAGCTCATATCCTGTTAGTAGAGAAAAACAAAATGGCGGCTCAAACTGAATTTCCGACATTTTGCGAACGAGAAAACGGCAAGTTGTTCGCTTTTTATAGCCTTTACAGGATTAAAAACACAACGAAAAACTACCACAGATTGTTTACAGGTTAGCAAATTAATTTTTAAAATTTAAAATGGTTAAAAAAAATTTTTTTGAAAAAATACTCGGCCGAAAGAGCGAAGATAAAAACATAAACAAAATAGAAAAATATTGAAAATATCCGGAAAGCAAAGTATGTGAATTCAAACCTTGTGTATATAATAAAACAGTTATTCTACTCACTCTCGTCGAATACGAGCGATAGCCGATTTGGCGCTACGCGCCTCATCGTCTATCAGCTCATATTCGACTCAACGTCGTAGAATAAATATATAACGATAAAGTATACTGCATGACCGCATGTTAAATCGATTTGATGTGTGGAAAACGCCTTAAGCGTTTGTTAATTTGGGAAAAGAATAAGTTCTATACTGGCTCGTAGTTACCCGCATGATGACGCTATTTTGATTAAACAAAATTATAGTGCATGCATTACCTCCTCCGCAGGCCCTTCTCCGGGCAAATTTGCGGGCGGTGCAAATTTGCGGGCCATATTTAGGTGCATGCATGTGAACTGTATAGAGTGACGTATAATATAAATTAGAAGTGTTCAGTGTAAACTTATGACGTCTCGTTAGATTTAGGGAAGGGCTGTTCATTGGAACTCCGCAATATCAAGTACAGTTAACTGTACTTGCTCTCATTTAGGCGAGATTTCGCGTGCTATTTGTATGGAGGACAGACTGCAGGCAGTTCCATGCAGCTGAGATCTCCCCGAAAAGACTAGCTAGAAATTACTCGTGTAAACGCACCAAAAAGATCCCTCCTAGCACTAATATCAACTCACTGTGTCTGTTGCTACTCTAACCAGAGACTTTTATAACATATAAACTGGGGGCGCCAAGTCTTCCCCATCTTCTTTAAGCTTTTGCGCCCCCTAAAATCCCTTGCAGGGGCGGCGATGGCTCTTGTCAGCACGCTAGTGGCTGCGATGTATATAAGTATGTATATATGCAGGGGTCTATTCTGTTCCCTGCAAATTCAGAATAGATGATTCCCCTTATTACGTTTTCGTAGCGCTTTGCATTGTGGTTATAGTGGTATCACTGATATTCCAGATATGCCTTATTTTTTGTCCCAACCTGTGCAAGAACTTTTAAAAAAGCTAGGGTCAGGTGCACGATAGCCAACAGCAAAATATTCGCGAAAACATTCAATATTTTCATTCGAGGCCGCTATCGTTATCAGTGATACCACTATAACCACAATGCAAAGCGGTACGAAAACGTAATAAGGGGAATCATCTACTAACTATTTATATCACGTCTTACAAAGTTTTTTTGTTACAGGTGAACCTGTCGTCGTTAATGTTTCCTATAGTGTCTTGGGGTTCAGAGATATTCAGGAGGTTGATATGGTGAGCAAAATAATACAACCAATATATTTTTACAAGCTTTTGGAAAGGAATAGTGGACATTTTGTCAATGATTATAAAAAGGCACGAAAAATAAATTTTGACAAATGTTATCATTGTATTAATGATATGTTTCCCAGGCTCCCAGCTAAAAGGGACCTCGAAATAAAAATAAAGTGAGATTATCCATAGATATTACTATATGTACCAAATCGCTCCCAGACTGCAGGTATTTTCCATTCCTGAGACCCTATAGATGCCAAAATTTTGGAAATGGGGGAGAATGTCTGCTGAAGGGATTGAAAATGTTATTTGACTGCAGGACATGATCCAACTAATTGTGCTGAAAGCCAAGATTAAATGCCTTTTATTATATGGTATATGACTGTAATTACACCTACATCCTTATTAATTAATTCTAACATGCAGGAGCATGTGATAGGCATTTAAAAATATAGGCGCAAAGAAATGTCCAGCCAAAAAATGCACGATGGCAGAAAAAAATCCTGTACACTGAACCTGCATGGAGCTTATTTTCCGCCCCTAAAATATGTTCTTTCCATATTTTTCAAGACGTACATGACCGATATGTACTTCCGCCAAGAATGGCAAGATAATCGTCTTCAGCATTCCCTCAACTGCACATTGACGTTTATTACTGGGACGAAAAAACCAGTAGATTTCATTTGGGTACCAGATGCAACTTTTGAAAACTCTGTGACGTCATATGTACATGATGTATTGATTGGTAATCATAAAGTTGATATTTACCCCGATGGTCGAGTCTTCTGGGGTGTAAGGTATGATAGATGATAATTGCAAAATAATCACATGTATGATTCGATTTTGTAGTTGTAAGTGCAATATCCCGTGGTCGAATTCAACGCTAAAATTTTATTCCGTCGTTTACATTTAAGGATCTGTATCAACATGATCCTGGCTAGGCGGGATGGGACATTTACCGAGATCCCGATCGTAAATCATATAAACTCTAGGGAGGCAGGATGAAAGTGCAAAATACTAGGACGTCAAGGGGATGTCGTCATCGCAGAAATGCTTTGTCCATAAGGATGGCGTCATTGCAGAAATGTTTTCTGCATGAAAATGTCCCGACCCGCATATAGCTAGGTCGCATGGTATCGTACAAACAGGAATTAGGTTGCACTATCGTGCATGCAATATATCCATGTTTGTCAAGACCATTCGACGGCTTGTAATCTGTTCAGTCCGGATGTGTTCAGGATTTGTTATTACAAAATCATGCAAGGGTGTGTTGTGTTCTAGTAGCGGAAGTGCGTATAGACGGAAGTGAACTGTGTAGCGGGATTCGAGGAAGAGGGCTTACGGGGAAGGAGAGACACAGAGACACGAGGCATAGATGAAGCGATGTATATATTTCATAATAGTTTCCTATAAGTATTAACGTTCACATCACATATCTATATTGTTTCTTACAATATTACATTGGCGACGAGGATAACCTCAACATTCGATTACTATGGCAGGATTAGATTTCTCGGGAATTCAACAGTTTGATCCTCATTCAGAGCCAAGTTCGCTGGCTTCGCAGTGGAAAGAATGGCTGCAACGATTCAAACGATGTATAGTCGCTTTTGACATCAAAGACAAAGCAAGGAAACGAGCTCTATTGTTATACCTGGCCGGTCCAAAGGTGGAAACAATATTTGCCACGCTCTCTGATACGGGAGAAGAGAACGACTTCGATAAAGCCATAGAGAAATTGACAGAGTATTTCGCGCCGAAGAAAAACATTCTATACGAGCGACATATTTTTCGCCAAGTCAGCCAGCGATCTGACGAAACAATTGACCAATTCTGTACACGACTGAGACATCGTGCCTCGACATGCGAATTCGATAATGTAGAGGACGAGATTAAAACACAAATCGTGGAAAACTGCAGGTCTAGTCGACTCAGAAGGAAAGCATTTCGGGATGACCCCAAGCTGGATGATTTGATTAAATACGCGAGAGCACTGGAAATTTCTGATCACCATGCTGAAGAAATGGAAAAGCAACACCGTCAGGAGGCTGTGTATCAAAACACCAGACGAGATTTTCCGCCAAGGGATATAAAAGGTAAACAAGCACAAACTTGTTATAATTGTGGAGGGACGTACCCCCACCAAGGCAGGCCCTGCCCCGCTGCAGGCAAGACCTGTCATAATTGCTCAAAAACTGGACATTTCGCTCGAGTTTGTAAGTCTGAACAAAAACCAATCTCTCGAAAACCTCGAATGCCTCAGGACCAATATAAATCGAAGGCAAACAAGTTGAATGCTTTGAACCAAAATCGGCAACAGCAACCACTCTCTACTGAGCCAACAGTACAAGGTGAACCGGAAGTAAGCGACAGTGATAGCAATGAGGATATAATTATTTCTGTTTCGAGAGCCAAGAAAGTGAAGCAACCACCCATGACAAAACTCAAAATGAATGGGGTGAAAGTAGAGTTTTTGATTGACACCGGAGCTTTAGTGAACATTTTGACACAAAAGGACTATGAGTTTCTCTGTACAAATTCAAAGGACCAAATCTCTTTACGAAAGACTAAAACTAGAATCTATGCGTTTGGCTCTTCAGAACCAGTTGAGTTGAAAGGAAAGTTTGAAGTTCTAGTTGACTCAAAGCGTCGTGTTGCTGCCGCTACATTTTATGTCACAAAGGGAACTCAAGGCACTACTTCAATTCTCGGTTGTGAGGCGTCTACTAATTTGCGTTTGATTACCATGAATGTTAATTCTGTGTCGAAAGTATCGGATGTCAAGTCGGACTCTGGAACTGATACGAGTAGCTGTGATTTGGATGCGAGTAAAAGAAAAGAAAACCTATTGAAAGGTAGGCACCCTAATGTATTTACAGGAATTGGTAAACTAAAGGGGCATGAACAAAAGATTCACATAAATACCAATGTACTCCCTGTTGCCCAAACGAACAGGCGTGTTCCATTTCATTTACGCAAACAGTTAGACACCTGGCTGGACGATTACTTACAAAAAGATATAATTGAGCTTGTATCTGATGAGAGCACTGACTGGGTGAGTGGACTAGTTCTTGCACCAAAACCCAGAAACCCCAATGAAGTAAGAGTATGCGGCGACTACCGCCAAGCAAACACAGCTATAAAAAGAGAAAAACACCCAATTCCTACAGTTGACGAACTGATGGAAAGTATGAATGGGGCAATTAAATACAGTAAGATTGATTTGAAGGCTGGGTATCACCAAATTCCCCTTGAGAAAAGTTCCAGGTCCATTACTACATTTATTACGCATCGTGGATTGTTTCGCTATAAACGATTACCTTTCGGTATCAACTCGGCCAGCGAGGTATTTCAGCATGCTATCGAGAATGCCATTCGAGGGATAGACGGAGTTCGTAACATCGCGGATGATATAATTGTTTGGGGGTCAACACAACAGGAACATAATTTACGGTTAGAGCAGTTATTTGCTCGCTTAGACGAGTCCGGCTTAACCGTAAATAATGACAAATGTCTATTTGATCAGAGAGAACTTTGGTTCTATGGCTTTCTCCTTACTGATATATTCAGGCATAAAAGTTGATCCAAGGAAAGTTGATGCAATTAAGCATGCTAAGGAACCAAAGGACACAAAAGAACTCCGTAGTTTCGTAGGGCTAGCAAACTATTGTTCCAGATTCATCAAGAACTTTTCAACTCTTACATCCCCCTTGCGAGAACTTGCTGTAGCCAAAACACCCTATGCATGGACACCTAGACACACAGCAGCATTTGCTGCTATTAAAGAAGCTATACAGAAAGACTGTATCATGCATTTTTATGACCCAAATCAGAAAACATGTCTAACAGTCGATGCAAGCACCACAGGTCTTGGAGCAATATTGTCGAACATTGACAGAGCAGGTAATTTGCATAATGCAGCATATGCCAGTAGGTCACTCACTCTAACTGAACAACGGTATTCACAAACCGAACGAGAGGCCTTAGCCGTTGTCTGGGGTTGCGAACGGTTTCACATGTACCTAATTGGTGCAGAATTCACAATTTGCACCGATCACAAAGCCCTTGAGGTAATTTATTCACCCAAATCCAAACCACCTGCTCGGATTCAACGGTGGGCTCTGCAGGCCAACGGGGAAGCCGAGTCGTTCATGAAGCCCCTCGGTAAGGCTGTAAAAGCAGCGAAAATGGAAGGAAAGGATTGGAAAGAAGAGCTACATGGTTTTCTGTTAGCTTACAGAACTACACCACACTGTACCACCGGGGTAGCACCAAGTCAACTGTTGTTCAATCGCGAAGTTCGTACGAACATGCCAACTTTTGTAAAAGAGGGGGATATTGATTACAAGATTTTACACGAACAGGCTAAGATAAATACGTCAGAGAAGCAGTCGAAAGCGCAGCAGTATACAGATAAAAGACGACGAGCTCGGAAAGCAAACATCGAAGTAGGAATGAAAGTTTTGGTGAAACAAGAACGAAAAAACAAATTTAGTACTGTTTTTGATCCAACACCTTTGACTGTAACGAAAGTTAATGGCACAAAGATAACCGCAGCGAGACACGATCTCACTACCACCTGAAACGTATCGCATTTCAAAAGATTTTACTCGAAAGACGAAAGTGCTGATGAACAGGAATGCGACGACAGCGCTAGCGATGTAACGGACGATGAAGATAATAACGAACAGCCACAAGATATTCCACGAAGGTATCCGGCAAGAGTACGAAGAAGACCTCGGTTCTTGCGCGAAGAAACTTAACTGTTAAAATATTGGTACTATTGTTTAGGTTGACATTTAAACCAGAACTATTGAATTTTGGTCATAATTTAGGTGCATGATTGTTTGCATAAGTATATTTCATATTCTAAAGTAAAAGGGAGATGTTGTGTTCTAGTAGCGGAAGTGCGTATAGACGGAAGTGAACTGTGTAGCGGGATTCGAGGAAGAGGACTTACGGGGAAGGAGAGACACAGAGACACGAGGCATAGATGAAGCGATGTATATATTTCATAATAGTTTCCTATAAGTATTAACGTTCACATCACATATCTATATTGTTTCTTACAATATAACAGGGTGTATCAGAAGTACAGTACCGATGTATCAACAAAAATATCGACTCACGTATATTTCTTACAGAGCTACAGCCAGAGCGCTTTGTCCTATGGAACTCTCATCCTATCCATTTGATGTGCAAGTTTGTCCTTTAACCCTCGTGAGTTGTAAGTAATGCACACTGAATTCAGGGATATGTAATGGAAGGGGTGTGTCAGGGGGCCTTGTTCATATTTCCATTCAGTGTGTGTGAGAGGGGGGAGGGGAAATAATCTTTGATAATACAATAGGTTTTTTTCCAATTTAATACGATCTCGCATTATTGCACCCTTAAAAACCGCCAGTTATTCCAATTTATTTCTTCTAAATTTTTTAAAGTCATACCAGGATGGTAGTGTGATTGAACCCAGTAGTGATTTGCTTGTCTTACTATGATAAAACTATGCATTTATAACCACTTAAAATACATGCAAGAAATCGTGTTTCAGAAATTCAAGAATAAAGACTTTCCGGCGGTGCATTCTTCCTTAAAGAGCAGCTCTTGCTAAATTTTAGACTACACCACCACTGTGTGAATTGTACGGAATATACATGTTACATGTGTTTTCTTGTATACGGAGTGTATTACATCGTACTATTATATAAAGTAATTTTCTTTACTGTACTTTGTATTAAAGTGATACTGCTGCATGTTCTCTATATATACCATCTGCGGTTAGATTATAGACATTCAAATTCCTTTGAATGTCTATGGTTAGATTTAGAAGAAAGATATAAAAACCAAGACCCATTTGAATTCCTATTAGGCCCTATACTTATACAGTTTTAATAGTTGAATTCTTGTTTCTGGTATTGTGTGCACTCAGGTGAAGATATATGTATGTGATGTTGCTTTGAGTGTACCCGCATGTACCGGACAAGATGAAAAGGTTGCTTGACCACAGTAGGAATCGAACCCACGACCTTTGCTATCACACTGAGCAAAACCAAAGGTCGCGGGTTCGATTCCCATCGCGGTCAAGCAAACTTTTCAGCTTGCCCAGTGTCGACACACTCAGAGACAACATCGCAAACATAAGTTTTAGTACCGCTTTTGAGGTATCCCGTATTCCAAAATAAAATATTTTCACACTCTTAGTTTTGCAATGTTTTCATTTCATTCAAATGTAGACAACTATCCAGCCAATCATGTGAAATACGCGTGGAAAGGAAGTTCGGCCGTTACGGTTTTTGCTAAAAAATTATCGCAGTTTTTGGTAACTCGTGTTGAAACCAGTGAGACAGAGGCAGTGTACCCTATAGGTAATAATTACATTTAATCATGGCCGTGATTTAATTAACAAATAATTAAATCGAAGTAGTTGATTAATGAGCGTGTAGCTCAAAGCTGGACCCAAATTAAATTGGACAATTACAACTTAGTTAAAGGGAAATAGCAATAAAAATTAAATTTCTCCCATTTGGTAGAGGGATTCAATATATTTCGAAACATTGTTGCAGATTTTCTGTATCGTTCTTGGTATAAAAAATATTATACTTTATTTCAAACAAAATCATCATGCATTCCGCCATCTTGGATATGGATATGCTTGACGTCACAACCAGGGTAACATTATTTATATTGAGCAATTCTCAGCCCATTTCAATGCTAAATCCTATTTTTTATCAGTCCAATATACGATGATTTATATCATTTACTGAAAATTGATGAAATTCATGGTACTTCCAACAACATTAAAACAATTGGTATTTTCTAAATTGAGAAAAGGAAAATTAATAATTTAAAAACAACTTTTGTTGTAAAATGTTTTTCGAAACGTATCTGTGAAAGTACGAAAAGGAGTCATATGACACATGTACGCTATATTTATGGCCTCGTTATCAATCAAATACATACACATTTTAGTCAAAAACTTGACAAGTCGAAACAAATACAATTTACTAGAGAGTCTATAACCGTGTTTACACTACGAGCCTAAGCCTGGCCTGGGCCTACCTTTGGACGTGATTTTTGTAGTGTAAATTACGCACTTCGGCCTGGCCTAGGCCAGGAAATCTGGGCCCATCAAAACAGGTGGTCCGGATTTCCTGGCCTTGGCCAGGCCGAAGTGCGTTTACACTACAAAAATCACGTCCAAAGGTAGGCCCAGGCCAGGCTTAGGCTCGTAGTTTAAACACGGCTTATGACGTAGGCTATACAGTGCGCGAATTCGTCCGGTTCCAATTTCTAGTACTCATCCGAGCTATGCTCGATTTGTCCGGTTTCAAGCGTCCCGTGTCAACTCGAAAAGCCAAATCAGACGGCTGCGAATTAATTTGGCTTTGTGTGAACTGATTATAATTATAGACAGATTATAAGTACTAGATAAAACATGATTTATTTTGTATGTGATGTCAAGCGTTATTATTTTGTTAGGAAAGTACTCTATCCTCCACACATATTTCACATTCCAAAGACGGCTGGGATATTTCGTGATGCAAGTTTACACACCATGCGTATTTTTAGTGATGTTGGCAGGATTTTCGTTCTGGGTGGATCCCAGAGCCACACCTGCCAGAGTCGCCCTAAGTTTAACTACACTTCTGACCACCGCGACAATATGGTCGTCAGTTAATTCAAGAATGCCCAAAGTTAGTTATGTAAAAGCTATTGATATTTACTTCCTGGTTTCCTTTGGTTTCGTGTTTTCTACCCTCTTGCAGTATATACTACTGCTGACATTGAAGCATCAGACACACTTGAGGAAATTACGGAAGGTTTCGCCTGAATATCCCCTTTCCGGAAAGGTGAGTGCAACAATTATTAACTAATTTTCACATTAGCAGACAATTTTAATACACCTCATCGGCAGAGGATTCTTGCCGCTGAATTATGCATATTTCAATCCGCCCCGTTACCATCATGTCGGGAAATGTACACCGAGATCAGAAGAGGATGAGAGTTGGCAGTCACGTGATCTTAGTTAGTTGGCTGTTCTTCATGCTTTTCCAAAACTCTCGTATTCAGTTAAAACCTAGTTGGAACACTCTTCAAACCTTTATTTTGTTAATCTATATCCCCTGGTAACAATGAATACTGCCAACTCTCATCAAATCTCATCCTCGTTTGATCAGAAAATATTTGATGAAATTAATTAGAAAATTAATTGTTTTTTATTTAGAAAATGGGTGAAGGTAACGGTGGTATGAATTCAAGCTCCAGTGCGAAAACTGATCAAGCATTGCAAGCTAAACAACGTATGATGCAACGTTACCGTTCTATTCTAATTGAGCAAAGTGAGCAGAATGAGAGTAAGGAGGAATCAACTGCAACAGAAGTAACACTGGATCCAGAAACGCTATACTATTACAAGCAGAAGCAAGAATTTAGGAGCATTTTATGGCTTGATAAATTTAGTCGAGTTTTCTATATGTTCAGCTACGTTCTATTTCTCGTGTTGTATTGGAAAATGTATAAATTTGATGAGTAGCAAGGGAGCCGTCTTTCAAAGTGCCATGTTTATATTTATAGTAGGACAAAATCAAAGGTTGAGACATTTACGGCATAAGAAACAATTGGGTCGAAAATGATCAAGTTTGGGCCAGTCGATAAAAGAGCTATATAATGCTGTTATGTACCATTTAAAACATTTATCAGATATAAAGATACGAGGCGAAGCCGAATATCTTTAGGACTGATAAAACGTGCACTGCAAAATGTTTTAAATTGCTTCAAAAACTATCAATCTAGTATAAATTTATTGTCTCATTGACGAAGTAATTTTGAAAAAATACGTTGTAAGTCGAGAAAGTCAAAGATAAAGTTTATGTAAATCAAGGGAAATCTCTATCACATACAAAGATACGACACGCTTATGATTTTTCTTTGTGTTTTCCTCATGAATTATTAATGAGATTTTGAATACTAATTAAATTAAATTCCCCTGTTTAAATTCCCCTGATTATTTTATTGCCTCGAATAGTCGCTCAAAAATGTACCTTCAATTGATGCAAGAAAAAGATCCGCATTGCGTATTCATTTTTTCACTCAAATCAGCAAAATATTGTTAAAAATTGCGCACAACGACGGTCGAAAAATCCGCAATGCAAATTAATTTTTTCACTCATGAAATTTAAGAGCCAAGAACATCGCTCTGATACGAGATCATCCGTGGCAGTACAAAATTGTACTGCGCGATAATAGCTGACCATCTTGGAATAGAAAGAAATTAAGGACCTGAGTTATTGCGACCACGGTAATGGAGATAATTCATAAGGGCTCAACAGCACATATATTAGTGCCAGAGGGCCCCGATACGTAAAATATGACCACGGCGAAATGTTTTCGAGGTCTTGATGTTTATCACCACCACCGTAGGGCTATATGCTTATCGACCTGGATATCGTTCAAGACAAATTGCTGTTGACATCAAAGTGAGAGGAATTTGTCGTGAATGTCGTGGAAAATGTATAAACTTGATTAGTAGTGAAGAGGATTTTTTCGTGATTTGTCGATCACGACAAACAGATCGTGATTTGTCGATCCTGTCAAACAAACAGCCCACAATAACGCATCCGAGTATTTCTTTATAGGTTAATAAACTTGTAAAGTTTACGAAGAATAGATATAGTCATAGGCGTACTGGAAGGAAAGAAACCTGCTCGACTTTTCCGGATTGTGCCCGACAAGTGCCGAAAATTTTTTTTTTCCGGAACAATTTATTTTGGCGACCCCCCCCCCGCCAAAAAAAAAATTGGGCAGTCCAAAAATTTTTCGGACAACCTAAATTTCTCGGAACATCAAACAAATTTTCCCAAACATCGATAAATTGACATAATTTCCCACAAAATTGACAGAATTTGTCCCATTTATTTTCATAATAACCCACTGATTGCCCGACTGACTACTTTTTGCCGGACTTTTGTTGAACATTTGCCCGACTTTTGTTGAACATTTGCCCGACTTTTCGACTTTGTAATCTTTTTGGGGGGTACCCCCCGTCCCGTACGCCTATGGATATAGTACCCTTGTAACAGACTCGTCCCCAGTCGCTTTAAGAGCGGCCAGAAGTGGGCGCGTAGAGGCTCACGGCAAGGGCGAAAGAAGAAAATTTAGCGACTGGCAGATTACTGTGATTTTTCTTGCAAGAAATTGTTTTTCTTGCAAACTAATATTTTATGCTTCAATTTTGGATTTTTTGACATTGGTATACATAAATCGATCATTTTATGATGTAGTCTCTGCAAAGTGCGTATTTTTATCAAGTACAGTATATCGGCCTTCAATTGGTCAAGTCTGGAGCACTTCAAAATGGCGGACTCTGATGAACTTAGATGGTGAGTCTAAAAGATAATATAATACATTCTACCACTTGAATGTCTTGAATTTGTTGACCCTTTGAGCCGGAAATTCAGATGAATGTCCTAAGACCAGCACTCCTAGAACTCCTAAAGCGAGAAAGTTACTGCCATTTGACGTCAAACACGACCTAACACCAGATTCTAAGAGTCCGGGATTACCAAGAAGGCAAGAACTAAATGCAGGAAAGTTGTTCAAGGTTGGAACTTGTATTTTTAATAAGTCACTTGTTTGAATGTGCAGGTGATGTTAGCACATTTGTTCCTGGAGATCGTCAGGGCTCTTTAAAGAATATATGCATCAAAACAGATGGGTTGAGACTTAAACAAGAGGATGTTGTTACTGATGATCTTAGTGTAAAAAGCCACCTTTCAAGAGCTTTGGCAGCCATATTTCCTAACTGTGAAAAGAAAAGGGTGTTGTGTTAACATAAACAAATATATTCTTTTTACATGTGTAAAGGCTGATGTGCATATGCAATACATGATTAATCCAATTCATTACATTGTATTACAAATGACTTAATATTTTTATATTTGTCTGGTATATTGTGTTTTGGCTAATCTTCCTCAGGATGCTACGTCACAGAATAAGGTACACAGAAGGTCGACTTCTTGGGTTTTCCTATGATAGTGGCGTAACCCGTAATCAAATGCTGACGTCATGGTCCTAGCCAGTGCGCGTTTGAGAGGTATTCACTCCCCTGATATTATTCAAAATGGTGAACGTCCAGGGGGGAATCCCTCTTAAACGCACACTGGCTAGGACCATGGCATCAGCATTTTGATGAATCATGGCGTGGCAACGGTTACTCGAGTCAACCTTCTGTGTGCCTTATTCTGTGGCTACGTGCCCCTCACTCACCTTCCACCCCTGAATTTTTCTGCACAACCACCCACCCCCCACCATGCAGATAACATATGAAAGTATAAAGCTTTATTAAGTTAATATAATAGACATGCTCCACTACATCATGTACACTAACTGTAATTAAAATACATTTTAGTTTTAAATTAATTTAAAATTATTCACTGTTAATAATTCCATTGAAGAAGTCCAATTAAAATGGTTCAAAATTAATTCAGCTTTTGTGTCTTCAATTTCCATACATCTTGCTTGGTACTGCAGTATTTTGCCACCCAGATCAAGATTAACCCTTTAAGTGGCAATGCACCCTGATATGCCCTACATTATTATTTTACTCTGTCTAACACCAGACAATTTACTCATCCAGGGAGAGTGCTGTCACTCTAGGGCTTAATTGGGAAACCAGGGTGAGTCAGGACAAATTTCCAATTGTGTGATAAATGGTGTCCCAATTGTAAGATAAACAAGAATATATTATATGTTGTAAAGTTGAGTACAGAAATGATGATGGGAAAAACAAGAGATACCAGAACCATTGGTGGTGCAATTATCAGACTTAATGGTATAACAATCAAAAGTCAGTGCCGTAGCAAGTTCGATAATTGGGGGGGGGGGCTCATATTCATATATTCATATTCACAGTCCATAAAAACAATCAATTTCAAAAGAAATTAATAACGCAGAACACGAATATATGAATATGAGCCTCCCCCAATTATCGAGCTTGCTACGGCACTGAAAGTGGCCCTAAACGTTGGCCATGATACAAGGTAGAAATTACCTTCCCATTTCATGGACTATGAGTGCAAGGATTGTCAGAACATAGTTAGAAGTAATTGCCAGATTGCCCCCAGTGCATTGATACAGTATTTCTGGTTTTCCAAATTGTTTAATTAAGGCTATGATAGGAGTTATGTGCCACCTGAGCTTCTATATTATCCCTACAACCCTGTGCCCCCCATTGCCCCCAACAATGTGTTGTTAATGGCCAATGTAACGTCTTTTCATCATACAGTAACATTTAGTTAGGGGGGGGGGGTATATTTTGTTATTTTACAGGTATTTTGGGAAATATTTGAATGCTCCAAAAGTCTTGTCATTGATTTAATAGCCTTGTATGCAAAGTTTTAAGTTGGCACATAATCATATTACACAAAATCTGGAGTTAATAGCACTTTATAAAGTAATTTATAAATAACAAAAATTTGTAGTTTCGGCAACCAAATTGTGAAATACACAGGTTGCAAAAAAAACACCCAGCAAAAGCTGTTTTCTTTATAATCCAAAGAGTTTAAGAGTGCATTTCATCGTGAAATATAAAGATATAAACGCATAAATAAAATTGAATAAAATACCTACCTGTTTTTATATTGCTCGCTGGCTCCAATTAAAGGCATTCAACACTCTAGATTTACGAATACCTTCGATTGGTTGTTAATCGATAGCTTTTCCAAACATGACAGTGTTTCCTTTGAGTGCTTCTCTCAGTTCTCTGGCACAATAAGACTTTTCGCCTTTTAAATTTTAATATCAGCTGAAAGCGTGAAATAACAGGTTACAGGACATTTATGGATTGTCCTGTAATGGTGGTCTAAACCATCTTGATCATAGCAAGATAAATTATACTGACATTCCTCATGCGGACAAGGGAGTTTATCAGCTAAAAACGCTCTGTGGTTTATATATATATATATATATATATATATATATATATATATATATATATATATATATATATATATATATATATATATATATATATATATATATAAAGTATACTATCTAGCAATTGCCCTGCGTGACACTCATGAGCATTCAAAATGGCGGCTCAACGGGGCAAAAATCATAGAGCGAGATAGGGAAAAAACATGTTTTTCGCATTTTGCGTCGTCCTACAGCTTCCGATCCCGTTCTATCACTTTATTTTGGCAAGAACTGACTGGTGTGAAGGTTTTGGATGAATATTTGTACAATTTAAGTTTAATAAAGACGAAATAATCGATCGCTAAATGTTATCTGAAAATCATCACATAGTCGGTTGAGCAGTTCGAGACATTTTGTTACAGCAAAAAAAGGTTTTGGTTCTTTGGGTGCTTTTTTTCTCGAGGATCTCGGTTGGGATATATAACAGGGAATAATATTGTGAAGTATTTTGAAGTTAAAACCTATTTTACTTGATTTATTTGGTCTGCTGGTGCGAAAATTCTGATGCTCTGTTTAGTGTGACTTTGACAACCTCCTTGCTGCTGCAGATGTCAAGGGATCTCAAGTCTATATGGCCTGGACAGTGAAAAGTGATGAATCAATCAGGTTTGTAGATAGAACTAGTGACAGCGAAAGTTTTCAATGGAAACTAGTTTGAAGAAACTGACTAATTTGTCTGGTATGCATAAAAAACCTTCACAGTATCTAGTTCTCTCCAAGAAACCTGATTGATTCATCATTGATAATCAAAAATAGATGGGACGGCATCTTCGTTTAGATATTTCTTGGATAAGTTGGATTGGCCTTTTATTGATTGCTCTCCACAATCAGCACTCTCCCCTTCAGGCACTCTCCCCTTGAGACAGCTGACTTAAGCATCAGCACTTTCCCTTGACGAGTAAAATTGTCTGGCGTTAGACAGAGTAAAATAATAAAATAGGGCACAAAACGACTCAATGGGTTAACTAGACACATGGGCAGATAGGCCAGTTAACCCATTAAGTGCCACTGCTCTCCCCTTGATGAGTAAAATTGTCTGGCGTTAGACAGAGTAAAATAATAAAGTAGGGCGCATTGCAACTCGATGGGTTAATATAATCATCGGGTGTGAAGTGTTTCTCACACAAGACAGGGTTCGTACGGGTCCTGGAAAGTCATGGAATTTCAATATTCCAAAATCCAGGCCTGGAAATCCTGGAAAATCAAAATTACTTATTTCAATTTACCAGTCATAACAATAATATGAATTGCTGTTTTCAATTTACCAGTCATAACAATAATATGAATTGCTGTTATATAACAGATTTTTGCAAGAGCGAAGTGAATTTTGTTCTTTTACTATATCTGTTATCGTTAAAATATTAACGAATTTCAGAAATTCCAGACTTCCAGGTCATGGATTTTGAAAAAAATAGTCATGGGAAGTCATGGAATTTTAAATCGGAGAAAGTGTGCGAACCCTGACAAGACTGGATATTTGATTGGCATCCAGTCTGCCCATTTCATTTTTTAGCAGGCTGGGATTGGTTATAGGAAATCCAATAGTGCAAAGGGAAAGATGTATTTTTGGTTCACTGATGTGAACAAAAGTAAAACATTTTTGACCTTGAACAGGACAAGGACCTCTATATATGACAGTTGTTGTCAACATGCATATATATAGAGAGAGAGACTCTTAACACAGATTGACACAGACGTCAAAACAAGTTGTTTGGTCTAATATTCTTTTATTAAAACTGTAAATAGTTTTATATTGTAGCTAGCAAACTCAAAACTACATTTGTTGTGACGTTGTCATTACAGTATTTACAAAACAAATTGTTTTTATTCTATTAATATTAAACTATTCTGTTTTATATGATGTAAGTTATAGACTTTATATAGTGTACAAATATATAATGTGTGTGTTTCATAGACTTACTTATGGAAGGAAAAGCGAATACCATCTTTTAAATCCCCACGTCTGCCTTGCACTAATACGATGAACACGATTCAGGCCGACATTCAAGCATTCTTTTCGATAAAACCCCCCAGATATTTTAATAGAATAGAAAGCCCTAGAATTTTCAGATGAAAATACTGTATTTTGGTCGAAATAACAATGAAAGAACAAAATAAACAGTAGTAGCTTTTGGAATAGTTAGATATATATCACATTACTTGAGAAAAAAACTCGTAAAAGACTGAAGGAATATTAAAACAGGAAGAAACTAAAGACGAAAAGCGCGCGAAACTGCAGGCCTGCCCAATCTTGCCCGCTTGAATTGTAATTTGTAAATTGTATTAGTTGTAACAAATATTCATCCAAAACCTTCACACCAGTTAGTTCTTGCCGAAATGAAGTGATAGAACGGGATCGGAAGCTGTAGGACGACGCAAAATGCAAAAAACATGGTTTTTCCCTATG